CACCTTCTATCATTTGTAAGCCACACACTTCTGGCTGGCCTTGTCATGACTTTGGCAGCACACTTCCCAGCCTCACTTGCTTAGACACTTGTTGTGAATCCTTAGTAGAGGAGGAGAGAGTGAGAACAAGGACGCACTGGCTGACAGAAATTGCACACTGCAGGACACGACGGTGTCTTCGACCTCAGGCTAAAAGTGTGTGCTCGCCTGACAGAGCTGTTCACAACCAGCAGCTGCTAATTGAACACCCATTTGGTGTCAGGCCCTAAGAGAGCTGCTGGAACAAGGTAGACAGAGCCCCTTCCTTCCCAGGCTCACAAACCAGGGATGAGAAGAAAGAAGTAGACTAATGGATAATGAAGGCTACAGTGAACCACAATGCAGGTCTCTCCCTCTCTCTCTCTCTCTCTCTCTCTCTGTCTCTGTCTCTCTCTCTCTCTCTCTCTCTCTCTCTCTGTGTGTGTGTGTGTGTCTGTATGTGTGTGTATGTATGTGTAATGTATTTTTAATGGATATTATGCAGTCATAGAAACAAACCCTATGGTCTCTGTCCTTCTTATCTACAATGCTGAGAGCCTTCTACAACATCAACAGCAAATACTATTAGCGAGCCCTAAGCTCTTCTCTAAAGTGAAGGAGGAGGGTGACTTTTCTTAGACTTACCCTCCATCTGAACTGTCATCATCACTAGGGACACTCAAAGGGGATCTTGGGAGATTACAACGCTGGAAGAGGCTCTGGAGATGGGAACCCAGATATGGTTCTGCCCAGCTTCTTCTCTAGTCCTCCATTGCTGCTATTGATCTAGGATACTCAGAACTGGCCAGTCCTGTCTTTCAGGACCCCATGGGACCATCCCAAGCCCTTCACTGGTACCAACTCTGCCATTAGATTTGATGAGCTGTCTGTCTTTCTCCTCTTCTTTCTACCACTCTGGTTCTTGGCCAGCTTGGTAGATGAAGACATTGCTTCTCCTATGACAATGTAGACTGCCCCGAAGGGAGACAAGACTATGAAGTAAACAGAAAGTGGCAAGTTCTTAAATATCAGAAGTGGGTTTGTGAAGCATTGTAATATTTCTCAGATGAGGGTGGCATCAATAAATCCCTTTGGGTGGAAGATATTAGTTTAAGATGTAATTGTAAAATTTATTTTTATGACCCGTCTTTACTACTGCATCTCGGATTCCCTAAATATACATAATTTCCTGCATCTTCATTTATCACTTGTCAGAAACATAAAATTATTGTTTTATCTCATTATTACAAAAGGGAGAAGATGGATCAGGCCCTTCAAAGCCTCTGGGCTGCAGCCACAATTTTTTAATCTGTGAAAACCTCTCCCAAGCTCCCTTGAATTGCAACTTCAATTGGCCCCCACTTCACGGTGAATGTTGCAGGGTCTCCTCTGGGAGGAAGGGATTAGAAATAAAAAGCCCCTGGGACCAATGACAACTCACAGTGCTATAGAGCCATGCACGATGTTGACATTAGCACAGAGCTAGGGTCACGGTATGTCTGCTGGGTTCTTGCCTTTTAGTTCCAGGCCAGTGGGTGGGACAACATAAATTTTACATTTCTCAGCATCTACTTGGGTTGCAGGCAATTTCTACCCTTTTCTGTGGCTCTGAGATATTCATTGCTGTGTAGATCAATGTTCCAAGGGCCACTTGGCCTGGAGGGATGGAACTGTAAGCATTTGACCAACCTCTCTCTCTCTCTATTGGCCCCTGTGGATCATGGAGGATGCCCTTCAGCATTCCCTGCACTCTGTCTCAGCCCTGAAGCCTTCAAAGTGAGTCAGAAAGAAAAGTGATTTAGGCCACAACCCATCACACTAACAAGGCTCACAAGGCCAGAGGCGGAGCATTCACTTCCAAATGGAGGATTGGAAAAGTGCCTGGCATGCTCCAGCCAGAAGCTGTGTAGTCTCGTAAGAGAACTGAGAGGAAGCCGTCGGGCCTCGGCGCGCGCTTGTGTCTTCCATTTCTCCCGTCGCCATGGCTGCCGACATCAGCCAGTGGGCCGGGCAGCTATGCCTGCAGGAGGTCGATGAGCCGCCCCAGCACCTCCTGCGGGTCGATTACGCCGCCGCCGGGGTGACAGTGGACGAGCTGGGCAAAGTGCTAACGCCCACCCAGGTTATGAATAGGCCCAGCAGCATTTCATGGGATGGCCTTGATCCTGGGAAACTCTACACCCTGGTCCTCACTGACCCGGATGCTCCCAGCAGGAAGGACCCCAAATGCAGGGAATGGCACCACTTCCTGGTGGTCAACATGAAAGGCAATGACATAAGCAGTGGCACTGTCCTCTCCGATTATGTGGGCTCTGGGCCTCCTAGTGGCACAGGTCTCCACCGCTATGTCTGGCTGGTGTACGAGCAGACGCAGCCTCTGAGCTGCGACGAGCCCATCCTCAGCAACAAGTCTGGAGACAACCGTGCCAAGTTCAAGGTGGAGTCCTTCCGCAAGAAGTACAACCTGGGCGCCCCGGTGGCTGGCACATGTTACCAAGCAGAGTGGGACGACTACGTGCCCAAACTGTATGAGCAGCTGGAAGGGAAGTAGGGGCGCTGTGGAGGCCAACAGTCCTGCCCCCTCCCCCCACCCCCCCCAGTATCAAGTTGCGTGAAGCATGCTGTTTCTCCCCTGTCCTTCCTACCCTCTCACAGGGAGTTCTCAGCTGTGCTAGGATAGAGGTTTAGGGTGTCTTCCCACTGCCCGTCATTATGCCGATTCTGCATAGTCAGTCACATCCCAGTTTATGTTTGATTGAATTTAGGTTCCACCTGGGGAGGTGTCTGGTGTTCTGATGGAGTCATTCTGTCACTGATTTAAAAAGAGCAACTCTGAAAAAATAAAACAGTCTGCCAGGATCAGGTCCACAGGGGAGAGCCTGGGCTATTGTCTGTAAGTGGTTAACAAGGAGACTTGGTCCAGAACCAGGCACGGTGGCATCTTTAGAGGTGGGCTTTTAGGGACCTGTCCCCCGATTGAGACAACCCAAGTCTCCCATCTCAGCTGAGCCCTGACTGTCCAGGTCAGGTGGCTGCATAGGTATCAGTGTCCCTTTAAAGAAGAGTGCTGCTGCGGAGAGAGACCCTGTTAAGCCCCTTGCTTCTTAGTGGGGTAAGCAAAAGTCACTGGAGCTGCTGGGTGTGTTCATTCTCATCATCAGATACAAATAAAAGGCATTGCATTCAGAAAGAGAGAGAGAGAGAGAGAGAGAGAGAGAGAGAGAGAGAGAGAGAGAGAGAGAGAGAGAACTGAGAGGAGCCTGCTTAAGGATCTGCAATGGCATTTCCAGCCGTGCTGGAGGCTTCTGGAATATGTAGGGGTTCTCCTGCGTGTCTGTCATCTGTCATCCATTTGCCACCTACCATCTGCTTGTCTACATCTGTCTGTCTTCTATCAATCTGTCTGTCTGTCTGTCTGTCTCTCATTTATCTATGTATCATCTATTTTTCTACTATCTATCTTCATCATCAATCTACCTATCATCTATTAATCTATCATCTTTGTGTCATCTATATTCATCATCATCATCTATCTGCCTACTACTATCATCTGCCACCTACATATTGTCGACTATCATCTTATGTAGATATGCATCTATCTGTCTATCTATCTATCTATCTATCTATCTATCTATCTATCTATCTATCTATGCATCTATCTGTCTGTCTATCTATCTATGTATCCATCTATCTATCTATCTATCTATCTATCTATCTATCCACCTATCTATCATCTATCTATCATCCATCTATCATCTATCTATCTATCTATCTATCTATCTATCTATCTATCTATGCATCTATCTGTCTATCTATCTATCTATCTATCTATCTATCTATCTATCCATCTATCCATCCATCTATCATCTATCTCACCATCTGTTACTATTAACATTTATCAATCATCTTCCTACTGTCTACTATCTTCCTGTCTACCTACTATCTATCTATTTTTCTGTCAGTCATCTATCATCTCTCATCTACCTAGTTGTCATCTTTCTATCAATAGTCTATCTTATCTGTCTTCTATACAGCTATTATTTATCTATTATCTATATTTATCACCTATTATTTCTATCACTTCCTCCCCTCCCCACTCTCTGGTTTTCTAGGTAGCCCCTCTGCTCCACATGCTAGTCCAGGGTGGCAACCTGGCCTCTCCCTGGACTTAGCAAATGAGCAGATTTGCCTTATGGGCACCTTCCATGCAACTGCACAAGAAGTCACCCTGAGTTTGGGCTGGGGTGCCTGTGTCTGCAGTCAGAAGAGACAAAGAAATGATTCTTTCTGTGACTCCAGTGTTCAGCCTTCACTGAGTTGGAAGATGTAAAAAGATGTCCCTTCTCTGTCTGGAGGACTTTGCTTACTTATTGTTTGGCCATTGCTCAGAAGCGCCTAGCACAAAGGCAAGATTACCTTAAGTCTTCACTTGGTGCTGGCTTGTAACTGGTCTTCAACAACCATGTTAGTGTGAGCTAGCTACTTCTCTGCCTAAGTAGATATACCACTCTGCGTGCTTTACAGTATTATAATGTGTCACTTATGGAAGTGCAGTCTTATGGTGATGGTCAAATAGTGTCATTCAGTTATAAAAATAACCACCAAAGAGGCCTGGAAAACAATGAGGAACTCTCATTAGCAACACAACACAGGTATCCAAAGTATCTCCCTGTCAGCTCTGAACACAGTGAGCATCAGCTAACATCATGAGAAAGTGTCAAGACTGTCTGTGACTTCCATCATCCTGCTCACGGTAGAGTTCAGATAGCTAGAGAGCTGTAGATTCTGAATGTCTGGAACTTTCCACCATGCTTCCTTTGATTTTGCTTTACAAATGAGGCCAAGTCTTGGGGTGGGTGAATGAGTACCTGAACCTACCTGGATGGCCCGCCTAGCCTCATACATCTAGACTGGCTTTGCTCTTCCGTTTTCAGGTGGTCATCTTATATTTCTGTTTTTTTCTTTTTTTCTTTTTGTTACAGATGGGCAGAAGAAAGTCCAAGAAGAATTTGATATCGACATGGATGCACCAGAGACAGAGCGTGCAGCTGTGGCCATTCAGTCTCAGTTCAGAAAATTCCAGAAGAAAAAGGCGGGATCACAGTCCTAGTGGGGAAGCTGCTTCCTGGTCCACCTGAAGACACCAAGTTCAACCACCGTCCATCAAGAAGTGAAAAGAACAATACCCTAGAGAGAAGTCATCCACACTCAGTACACACCCCGCTGCAAACCTGAAATGCATGAACAGAAACCCAATAGTATTTATGACCCTATAGGCAAGTGTCCACAATAAAATTGTGAGTAGCTTGATCTATTTATCTCCATTTCAATTCCTCTGCAACGATTTTCCTTGATGTTGTAATAAAAAGGAGGTAAGATGATTGAATCTAGTGTCCGTCTTCATTTCTCCCATTGGCTGGAACCGCAAAGGTTTATACGGTTAAAGACAACCGCAAGCCAGGTGTGGCTTATATTCTTAAAACTTTAGGGGCAGAACAGAATGCTTTTGTTAGGGTGGAGCTAGTCATTCTCAATCATGGAGTTTCTATCTCATTTACAGAGTGTGAGCTGCCAATAGCCGGTGGCTGTATTTTCTTAGCATGGAAGTGTAGTCTGCACCTTCGACTGTCTCAGCTCATCCAGGAGAACATGAAATCTAGGAGGGCAGTGCACCTGGAGTTGGGATTCTACCCAGGTGTGATTAGCAAGTGCATTTCAGATCTTTGAAGGGTTACCCCACTCCACAAGGGCCATCTTTGCAGCTGTGTAACTCCAAGGGGCAAGTCCAGGCTCCTCTGAGCCCAGGCTCCAGGCTCCTCTGAGCCCAGGCTCCAGGCTCCTCTGAGCCCAGGCTCCAGGCTCCTCTGAGCCCAGGCTCCAGGCTCCTCTGTGCCCAGGCTCCAGGCTCCTCTGAGCCCAGGCTCCTCTGAGCCCAGGCTCCAGGCTCCTCTGAGCCCAGGCTCCTCTGAGCCCAGGCTCCTCTGAGCCCAGGCTCCTCTGAGCCCAGGCTCCTCTGAGCCCAGGCTCCAGGCTCCTCTGAGCCCAGGCTCCAGGCTCCTCTGAGCCCAGGCTCCAGGCTCCTCTGAGCCCAGGCTCCAGGCTCCTCTGAGCCCAGGCTCCAGGCTCCTCTGAGCTCAGCGTGGTGGTTTGTTACCTGCTTAGCTTATTTATCACAATTTGGAGAAGCTGCCTGGCTTTCCTCCAGTGCAAACACATAGTCTCACATGTCTTGGTGAATTCCCACGGGTAGCAAAGATGTCCATTTTGTGGGAAGCATGGCTCCACAGCATCAGGAGTCAAGTACAGGTTGGAAGAGAGTGACTGAGCTGGCCTCGGGCAACAAGGGCCAGGAGCATTACACCTGTGTTTTTATGGCTGCTCAGTTGAGCCTTGCCATGGGAGAACCTGGAACAGAAGTGATACTTCTCCCACAACTGAGAAGTCACCATGTATGAGGTGGACTTGGCTGTGTGTTCCTTAGCCAGGGCTCTGGGTGGGTCACAGGCACTTGTGAGAAGAGAGGCAGAGTGTCTGAGTGTGTACACCTGTGTGCTGGACTGTGGGTGGATGAGGTGGTGGGAATGAAGTTTGGCAGGGAGCAGCTGGAGGTTAGAGAGGACACTATTCTCTCACAAAGCCCTTCAGCTGCTGTTAAGTGAATGGGCTGAGCAAGACTGGAACCCATGGAGGTTGTCTAGCCACAGAAAAATCTATCTAAAAATGTGCTTGTCGCCTTGTGTAAGATATCCCGGCTGCTACCTCTTCCCTGTGGCTACTGGGGTAGGGTGGAGGTGCCGGGGTGGGGGGTTATGCCTGAACTCTCCCAATGACTTCAGCTAATGACTACTAAATTGGATCACTTCTGCAGTAATAACCAGTGAGGACTAAGTCAGACTCCTGATGGAATGGTCCCCATTGAGAAGAAGACAGCAGATTGATAAGATCCCCCAGAAAGAGTTGCTGAGACAGTGAGGAGTATGAGTGTCATGGAAATTAGATGGCTTAAGATGCCATGCTCAGGGCTCCCTAAGGCTGCTAATGTGAAGTAAGCTGGGGCCCAAAATGCATGCACAGGTAGTGATCTCCATATCTGACCTGTGTCCCAGCTCTGCCACTCCCCCCACCCTCTCACTTACTGATCTAAAGGAAGTGTGTCCTGTTCCTATGGGGTATGTTCTAGCCCTGGCAGCTGGAGGCCACCCAGTGTCTAAGGAAGATATTGCCTCTTAGGGACTCTCTGTAAAGAAAAATGCTAATGTCTCTTTAGATGATCCTAAGAGTCTGGGAGGTCTCCTTCAGCCAGGTGGGGAAAGTTTGGAGGGCTCCCTCAGATATTTCAATGTGTGCCTTCAATTGAATTCGTAGGGCAAGGGAACAGTTGATTTCCTTTGAGCCCTAGCGATGAGTTAAACTTTTCACTTCCTAGGTAGATTCATGTAGATCTAAAGCTCCAGATGTTAGGAGTGGTGGCGGTGAGACATTTGTTTCCCACCAAAAACATGGGTTGGGTGTGTGGCATCTGCTGTCTAGGTCTCACAGAATAAAAGAACAGAGGAAGCAGTGTGTGGCCCCAGGTTCAGGAGGACCTCTTGTAACGCTCATCCTGAAAGGAAGAAGCCCTCTCAGGATGTGCAACCAAGAGTCTGCAGCTTTGAGTCATGAACTGACCTGGTTTTGTTCCCTCCACTGGACTATTGTCCAGGTAGGGCATGGAGCAATGGGAGCAAAACAATGACTGGGAGACCCACATGTCCTTACCCAAGGATAAGGCCCCATTGCAACAAACTCAAAGATGGTGGGGGATCCTGAATAATCATCTCTGGCAGCTGGCACAGAGGCACTAGCCAAGGAGATACTCTGTTCTAGGCTGAGACCATAGTGGGTGTGGTATGATTATCGGAACTTCAGGTAGGACCCTAAGCATCTGAGTTTGAAAATGGGTCCATCTTGGATCTGTGAATTGGCCAGGTCTCCATGGAGAACTTATCTGCCATAAGAAGGTGATTCCTTGACATCAATATGCTGATAAAAATCTGCTTAGAAAATGTTAGTAAATTAAAATGAGATAGGTAAAGTACACCTGAGCCTGACTCAATGCAAGCGTCTACTGGCAAGGCGTGACATCTTTCTCAGTATTCTTTGTCCTGGCCCAAATTAAACCATGGGCCTCTGCCATTCCTGGCCACATCCATTTGGACCAATGAATCCTGACCCAAGGTGGGTTCAACCAATAAGGTTCTTTCTCCTGAGAATTTGAGCTCATGCTCTCGGGAATTGAGCCACTTAAATGCATGATGTTGATTTGAGGCTCAAAGTGGTGATGTGATGAAGCTGAAAAATAAAAAAGACGTTCAAGTCTATAAAAAGTATTATTATTGCGAATGAAATTGTTACTATCTACAAGAATCTGTAAGAGTCCATTTGGTACAGGAGCATGCAGGAGCAGAGTCAAGACTCAGGATACACAAGCCCGTGAGAGATGGAGGGGCAGCCCAGGCTGAGTTAGTCATTTGATTGCTATGAACAGGAACCCACTCACACTAGCTAAAAAAAGAGAAACTCCAAAAATAGAACATTCAAGACATCCAGTTGAGGGGGGGGGAACACCACAGGCAGGCAGGATTTCATGAGATTTATAAATATCCTGGGGTACAGTGGGAAAGAAGTGACATCTTCCACATCACAGTCTTTGCAGTGTTTTATGACTTTCTGTAAAGTTTTACAGTTTTCTTTAAATATATCTTGAACATTTCTTTTTGTTCTATTTTTAAACGTCACCCAGTCATTGCTGTCCGTCTACTCGGAACCTTTACACAAAGCTTTCTGCAGCTGTCTTTGCTGCTTTCTAAGAAAATGATTGATTTCTGAATATTCCACTCTGTGAATATCCAGCCTATTGAGCTGTGTGATATGATGAGTTTTAGTAACTTCCTGTGGCTTTGCAGGGAGACAGTCCTATCAGCTCTAAACAATAATGTCTCTTCTTCCCCATGACTTTGAATGCCTTTCCCCCCTTTTTTCCTCATTATAACCCATCTCCGTGCATGTCTTACAGAAGGCTTGGGCACCATTTTAGAATCAGGGAAATGGTGTCAAGACATCTCCCAAAAAAGCCCTATAAGGCTGAATGGTTTTAAAAAATAGTCATTTTTTTAAAGTCTTATAAACCTCTTGAGTACTATTGAATGCATATATTTTATCTACCTCAAAGAATAACTTAGATAAATTGGCTTGACTGGAGAGAGAGAGGGAGGGTTTAGCGTTAGATTTTCCTAGGGTTTATGTTTGAGGAGAAGATTCATTCTGGTGTTGGGTTTAGGAGATGTAGCCTCTATCATGAATGGCAAGGGCACAGTACCTGGGCTTCTCTATAAGGCTCAATGTCTTAGTCAGCTGGGGATGCTGGGACGAAATATCATGATTTTCTCAACTGAAAGTGCTGGCATTTGTCCTCATACCTCTGGAGGCTGCAAGTCCTCGGCAGAGATGCTGGCAGACTGGATTCCTAGCTATCAGTCGACTGCTTTATTGCTACTTATTTCAGGGACGAGAAAGAAAGAAAGAAAGAAGGAGAGAGGAAAGAGGAGAGAGACAGAGAGAGATAGAGACAGAGACACAGAGACACAGAGAATTTGAGAGACAGAGAGACAGAGAGAGACAGAGACACAGAGACACACAAAGAGAGACAGAGAGAGACAGAGAGACAGACAGAGACAGAGATGGAAAGAGAGGGAGAGATAGAGACACACAGAGAGACATAGAGAAGATAGTGTCTTTTATTTATCTACTTTCAAGACAGAGCCTTGCTATATATTGTAACCTAGGCTTGACTTCACCATCCTTTGTCTCAATTTCCCAAGGACTGAGGTTTCAGGAGCATGCCACTCCATCCAGCCCCTTTGTTGTTTTTGTAGGATGATACCCTCCCGGAAGAAGTCCTAGCTTCATGGCATTATCTAAGCATAACACATCTGCTGTCTCCTCATGTCCTAGTATTGGGGGTAAAGGCTACACAGTATCCATTTAGGACTGGGAGCACCTGCTTGTCTATACCGCCTGCTCACCAGAGCTTCATGTTACCTAATGGGATCGGATCACAGGTTGGTCTTTGTTCACTGCTCAGTTGATTCTCCACAGGCTTTGCCTTTGCTCAGGCTCACCATCTGCCTCTGTCCACTTTCTGGTGTTGTCACTGCACTGTTTTCCTTGTAGCAGTCTCCTCTGCTCCCAGCTGTACTACCCTTTACAAGCTCTTTGTTCTTAGTTAACAGGAGTTTAATTAAATAAGAATTGGGAGAGATCAGCCTGCTCTGGTGTGTGTAACCTTTCTAGGAGTCAGGGGTCTGCAGAGCTGGAGAGTAGCTCGCTCGCGCTCTCTCTCTCTCT